GTTCTAGCTCTCTTGCTTGTGTGACCCTGAGCAAATCACATAACCTTTCTGAGCCTCAGTTTCTCAATGAAATGTAAATATCATTGCTCATCTCATAATACTCTCTTTTTTAAAAATATTTTTATTAGTTGATGGACCTTTATTTTATTTATTTGTTTATTTATATGTGGTGCTGAGACTCGAACCCAGTGCCTCACACATGCTAGGCAAGTGCTCTGCCACTGAGCCACAACCCCAGCTCACTCATCTCATAATATTCCTAAGAAATAATGGTATTTGATAAAATGTTTTATATGTCATAAAATGCATATATAAATATGTTATTATTACTGTGCCATCTTTTGGTGGGTACAGTTATTATCCCATGTAAATAAATTTCGTGTTATGAGTAAAATTATATATATTAATGTATTGGGGAAAAAGTCTACTTCTTTGACTATCCTCTGTTGAACATTATAATCAGTAAGGGGATCTTCCTTGATGAAAACATACATTGATGAGCTGCTTTCCCCATGGAACTGGTTTGGGTTTGGGACTGGAAGTAGTCTTGTTGTGACACTGATCACAGGGCATGATTTGGTTGGTTGGATACATAGTTGAGTATCCTTTTTCTCTTTCACTATACTATTCATGCAGTTCCTTCCCAAAGCTGAAGGAAGTCATCATAGACTACAAATACCAAAAGACCACACATTTATCATAGATGTAAGATTGGATGGGATTTGATAATTATTCCTTGTAGAGTATGAATACAACGGTATGTAGAGTACAATGGTAGATTAACTTTAAGGTTTTATAAGATTAGAAGTTTATTTGTTATAGGGCTTGGGAATTGGGGGTAGAATATAAACCAAATCTGGGAATGAAGTAAGAAGCAGACCTTTTGGAGGTAAGGACAGATGCGGCACAGCCTCTGCCTGGCTAGGAGTCACTGTGTTAATTCATTTCCTTGGATAGATTTGAAAGTGGAGTGAGAAGTGAGAAGACTTGGATAAAGTACTTTCCCTATGTTTTTTTTTAAATTAAAATAACGTGGAAGCCATGCGTTGTGTGGAGTACCACGTAGCATCCACACTACCTGCTGCCAGCCCTCTCCTTCGTCACACTTAGTCAAGCTACAGCTCTGTTTTGATTATACGTAAATTTATGATACTCATCACTTTCTTACAGTAAGAGTACAGAGCAGCATCTTTCAAAAGGAAAAGCTTGTCTGTGGCCGTACACACCCAATCTCATCAAAAGAAAAAGTTTTTTCCTTCTTTTTTAATTTATTTTCTTTTTCTTTTTCTTTCTTTCTTTTTTTTTTTCTTTTAATGTTTTGGGCTGGGGATCAAACCCAGGGCATCATTCATGTTAAATAAGCACTCTACCACTGAGCAACACCCCCAACCCTCAAAAGGAAAACTTTTAACGCTTATTGATACCTTTCTTAAAGACAATGAAATACAAGAAGAAAAAGACATGGAAGAGCTAATATGACTATGGATACAGCACAAAAGGCAAATAGTTTATAGGTATTGTAAGCTGTCTGAGAACTAGTTCTAGACTGTGGATCTTCATTAATCCACAGCAAATGAGAAAAGAACTAGAATGTAGTGACTTGCCCATACAGCATATTTTATTAGTTTAAGAATAACACTTTTTTTCTAGAATTATGTTTTTCCTATTGTAGATAATAAAAAATGACAGTTTTATGACATGATGGCAATAGTAGGTAGAAGTTTTTTACATACACACACACACACACACACACACACACACACACACACAATACCTGAAAAATAACTAAGTTTGCAACCCTATTTTGGGTTCTTCAGATACTTTTTGAAATTCTACTTGACCACAAAATCTAAGAATTATTGTACTGATTAGAGAGAGAAAATCCCTATCATCTGACCCTATCATTCCTCAGCTGCTTGACTTTGAGAAATCACTTAACCTCTGTGCATCACTTAACCTCTGTTCTTATATTTGCAAAATGGAAACTTGACACTAGATTCTGTGTACCACATAAGGTAGTTATAAAGTAAAATAAGGTCATATGTGTGTGTGTTCATGTATTTGTGCATGCCTTGCTCTTAAAAAGTACAGAGGGCTCTGAAAAAATTTGATCATTTTAAAATTATCAGCCAAAGTGATTAACTTTTTCAAAATAATTGGCAGAGATTTTAACAAAAAAAAATCTATATAAGCTTTTCTATTTATTAACTTGATAACCATGGTGGGAAGGAAACGGAGGGGGCAAGGAGTTAGCAAGGATGGTGGAATGTGATGGACATAATTATCCAAAGTACATGTATGAAGACACAAATTGGTGTCAACATACTTTATATACAACCAGAAATATGAAAAATTGTACTGTATATGTGTAATAAGAATTGTAATGCATTCCGCTGTCATTTTTTTTAAAAAAAATCAATTAAAAAACTTGATAACCATGACAAATTTTATTTTAAAAAAGTAATATACAGCTGGGGTTGTGGTTCAGTGGTAGAGTACTTGCCTAGCATGTGTGAGGCACTGGGTTTGATTCTCAGCACCGCATATAAATAAATAAAATAAAGAAGTAATACAGAAATAGGATAGGCTAGAAGATAACAGAATATGTTATTTTGATCACTGATATCTTCCTACCAAATGATAAAATTCATCTTCTAAAATTCTTGAGTCTTTTTGTTTGTTTTTTGTACTGAGGATTGAACCCAGTGGCATTTAACCACTGAGCCACATCTCCAGCCCTTTTTATTTTTTATTTTGAGATAGGGCCTTGATAAGTTGCTGAGGCTGGCTTTGAACTTGCCATCTTCCTACCTTAGCCTCCTGAGATTATGGACATATGCCACCATGCCCAGCTCATTGTTGACATTTATTAAGAGTTTGACAAATAGTTATTGTCTCTTCAAGAACAGGTATTGAGCAGTGGAACACACATTCAGAATGAGTACATGATTATTTTTAAGTGCAGTTTATATCCAGTTATGCATCGAGTTTAATATCAATCAAATTTCCTTCATAAATCCCTTTCTATTTCAGAAAATTGATGCCATTACAAGTTAATTGAACAGTTTTATTTAATAAAGGAGGGACAGTTAGAAGAGTACATGATATGAAAGATCTGATGCTAAGGACATTCCAACATAAAATTGGCATTATGAAGACCTATCATGCTCATTAACAAAGCTGCCTTGGGAGCCACCATCATAGACCAAATACTCTGCTGATTATGTGAGCCATTGGCTTGATCCAGTGTGCCATTTCTTGTAAGTTCTTGTCCTATAATCTTTCAGTATAAAACTGGCTCTTTTTTCAGTTAGTGGTAGTCAGGTCTGACTTTCAGGTCTTGAGATATCCATTTTATTTGAGATAGGGAGTTAGTACTTAAAACTGTGGGTCATATGCCCTTTGTTTTACAATTCTTTTTCTCCTGTGAAGTAAATACTGCATAATTATAATAGGCACAAAACTAATCATATGATTCATAAAAGAATAGGCTGAAAGAGAAATTATGTGAGGGCAAAAGTGCAGTTCTGTCTCCTTTCAATATGTAAACAGAGAGTTGAAGTGCCCCATGACTATCCTGTCCTGTACTCTAGTGGGTCCTGGTTCACCTGGCAGTGCATCTCTGGGCTCTGAGAGAGTCTATTTACATTTTAGTAGTCTCAGATCCCTGAGTTGTGATCTGTACCATTTACAGAC